TCCCCCCCCCCCCCCCCCCCCCCCCCGTCTTTCCTGGTCCATCAAATACGACAAGAACGTCTCGCAGTCACTCCGCTGTGTTGGTATACGTGTCTGTTGAACACAGGAAATCACGGACCGGTCTCTGCTAGAGATAATACTGCCCTTCGCGAGATCTCATGATGGATGTCATTGCTTCGCGGCCCAGTTGTATCTATCAGGACGGCCGACAAGAACTCGTTTCGCCTCAGCCCATACATCTACTGCCCCTACCTAGCCGGAAGAAAAAACCTCGACTCATGTCAAAGGCTGCTCACCTCTTACACCATGGATTACAAGCCAGTGAGCATGCTCCTGCGCGAGATGTAGATTGCAGGATCTACCAGGAACGCGTCTCCGGTTTGGCAGCAACACCGCCAGGTCACCACAATGATTATTCTGAATGCATCCACAAATGGCTAGAGCGAAGCACGAGAGGTTCAGATTATGGACAGAAAGCCAATCTGTCCGATTCTGCCAGTACCAGAACACCTCTTACACCTGGGCAATTTTCAGATGCTCATTCTGTCCATACTGCTGCAGCCCCGCAAATACCAGAATTCAATTTCGGACCAGATCCACAAGAGCTGGCCAATCGACTGGCCGCTTTAATTCAGGATGCCGCCAAGGATTGCCCATTGCCGCTGGTGTTTGGAGTCACGGCCATCACTGCCACTTCGCCTGCAGTCCGTCAACCTGTTCGTCCATGGTGTCTGCAAAGGCGGATGCCACTACGGAATCGCGCCGCAGATCCTCTGGTCTTCTACGGCCTTCCGGAGCACACGCAATCTACGTGTAATAGCGTACGCAAGGAAGAGGTTCGTCCAGTGGCAGTGTGCTCGCCTCCAAGTGACCCATCACAGCCTGCGCGGACAGTGTCGATGCCGCAGCGATTGGCAAACAGCGCAGCGCACTCTTCGCACAGCGCACACAACCATGCTGGGCGCGTGGTCACGATCGATGCAGAAGGCCAACTCTCGAAGATGTCGCGGATCATCAGTTCCATGGTAGATGATGCCGCAATCCCACTTCGATGTCGAGCGATGGCGAAGTGCGTATGGCGAGAATGGCGAGAGTTCCTGCAAGTCAACGACGGGCAAAAGTTGTATGCCAGCGATCTTCTGAAGTCTCTGTCTTCCAGTTTTGAGCAGACAATAATCGACTATGGCTGGGCGACGGACATGCGGAGCTTGCCAACTACCTTTGTCGAGGTGATGAGACGTACTGCAAGAGCAGCCATCGAGGACGAGCCTTGCACTGCAGCACGCACGAACACACTATAATCGTCTCTCCATTCAAGCATACCACAACAGGGAAAAAGTACATGTTCGCTTGAATGTGGGTCGAGGATGGCTTGATAGGTACCGTATATATGGATATCAGTCCCACTGTAATCGTAAAACATTATTATCAAATACGTAAATTTTTGCATGAGGTGCGCGCCATAGGTGATAGAAACGAAATAAGAAGATGGAAATATTGTCAATGTCACCAAATGGTATCGAATCTAATCTGTTATCTTGTGCTACACCTGCAATGCTGAGCATACTTGTAGTCTATGTATGCTCTTAAGTGAAAGCCGCCAGGGGAAAAACTGATGTGATGACGGTATGACCCCACTATAGATAGGCGTGCAGCTTCCTCTCCAGCTTCCCAAGTTGCTATACCTGCTGACATCTCCAACAACAACAACAACAGCAGCAGCAGCAGCAACAGCTCAAACTCTCCCATCACACGCACACACAGACTCCCATCCTCCTCCTCTCCCCCCAAGATAAAGAAAAAAAGAAAGAAAAAGGGAAAAAAAAACCATGCCCCCCATCCAGAAATACAAAATCTCCCACCCCTACCTCGACATTTCCTGCGGGTTAGGCGAAGCACCTTTTTACGAAAAGTCCCACCACTCGCTCCGATTCGTGGATATTGTGAAGAAAAAATTACATACGATTGATCTTGATGAGGGAGTTGCTTCGCATCGGGAATTTGATTTGGAGTTTTCGATTGGCACGACGGCGGATGTCGAGGGTGTGGAGGGGAAGTTTGTTTTTGGAGGTGAGGGTGGTTTTTTTTTTTTCTTTTTTTACTTTTTTGGGGGGTGGTGGTGGGGGTGGGGGTGGTAGGGGAAGAAGAGGAAGGAGGAGGAGGTGGAGTGCTACATGTACATTAGTTAAGGTACTGATGATGATGATGATGCTGATGATTGAAAATAGGAAAGAGCGGATATGGAGTTTTTGAGAGGGAGACGGGAAAACATTGGATCATCAAGGAAATGTGGAGTGATGCGGAGAAGAAAGATGATGGTGGTGGAAAGCCAAGTGAGTGTGCCAATTGCAGTACCTGATTGTTTGATGCTGTGATGATGAGGAAGATGCTAAGCCCTACCCTTTTCGGGGGGTCTTTTTTTATTTAGAAAAGGGCACATCACGCTGCGATCGCATGAGATCGAATGATGGGTAAGTTAATACCATGCATGCAATACCTTGAAGCCACGTTTTTTAAATGACAAGGCGCTGAAATTGGGCATGTAGATCCGTGGACACCAAAGGTCGTTTTTACGTGGGAGCCATGAACGACCCAGCAGTTCTCGGCGATGCAGACATTACCGATGAAGGCATCATCTTCCGACTCGATCCCGATCTGAGTATCCATCGCATCAAGGAAAACATCCGAATCCCCAATGGCATGTCCTGGACGCGCGATAACAAGACCATCTACATGACGGATTCTCCCACATTTGAAATTCAGCAATTCCCCTATGACGCCGAGACGGGCACAATCTCGCTGGAGCAGGGCACGACATTCTTCAAATGTCCCATTGAAGGAGGCCAGCCGGATGGACACTGTCAGGACGAAGAAGGTCATTTCTGGATAGCACTCTACGGAACGGGCAAAGTCGTGCGTGTCAATCCCCAAGGTGAAGTAGTGGCGGAAGTCGAAGTTCCCACTCGCTGTGTGACGTGTCCGGAGCTCTGTGGCACGTCGTTGTTCATCACGTCGGCGGCGGAGGAAGATCCGGAAAAGTATCCTTGGAGCACAAAGTACCAAGGAGCGTTGTTTGAGGTTGATGTGGGAGTTCGAGGGTTACCGAGGAACAAATTCAAGCCTGCTGCGGGTGTCGTGTTGTAGGGCTGGCCATTCAGGATGCTATATGCATGCTTTACCGTATAAAAATGCGATATGGAGCAGATTGTTGCAGGATGCACGTAGGTATGTATGCACTTTTGGGACCTTTTGCTCTGTTATAGTCTTGATGAAAGAACACATTTGACGTCTGCTGTTGAATAAGGTATCTTAACATCTGCAGCTAACCAACCACTAGCGCTAGGTAATTCTCAAGTACATGTAGCCCGTCTGCCAATACATGCAGTAGTAGGCGGAATGAAAGCAGCCGTACCATACCTGTACCATACTATACCACCCAGCACAAGTCTCGGAACAGCGCCATTCCATTCCATCAAAAAAAAAGAAAAAAGAAAAAGACCAACACCTCAACCCCACAGGCCCTTCCAAATGAGTAAGTAGTAAACTAGAGACTCAGTACCTAGATACGGTACGGTACGGTACAAAAGGACAAGAAGAAAAAAAAAGAACCAAGCCAAGTACCTACCTACATCAGGCTACATGTACCTACCCGACCTACCTTGGTCATCTCGTGGCTTCTGCATAAAAGCTCGTACAGTACCGAACACGATTTAAGAGTTTCCGGTTCCGAGGTATCGGGTAATGCACATCAGAGCACATGGCATGGCTGTTTGTTTGATGATGGTTGTTTGTATCGCTTGGCAGAAGAGGGGTGAGAGAGGGGGGATTCTGGTTGTTTATGTAGGTGTGTCGTGTATTACCTAGGTACCTACCTGAGGTATGTTGTAGGGTGCTGAGTGTATCATGTACGAGAGAGAGGGAGAGAGATGGATGTCGTTGGGGGAACGATGGAAAATAGGCTGGTTTCCGGTGGGAGGGAGGGTAGCGTTTTAGAACGGTACCTAGGAGGGAGGTAGAAGACATGACCTGTACGTCCAGAGGTAGGTAAGGTACCTGTAGAGTGTAGACAAGTAACAAAAAGCTGCTGACATAATGTAGTGTCTCATGCAACAAGTACATATACCGTACCGTACTGTACCTAAGTACCCGATTCTCCCCACATGGAGAACGAGGGGGCCACATCGGAAAGACAAGTGGAGGAACCAGGTAGGTACTTACATGTACTCCACAGAGCGACACAGAGATATCACAAACATCACACCCTAATACAACCCGACCTTCCAGTAGCCGTGTCGTTTTTTCTTGTTTGAATCAGCCAAGACAATGCCCCACTGCGCGGCGCGTGATAGATATTGCTTTGACGCAGATACGAGGTGGATGGTTAGGTACTATGTATGTCAGAGAGAGAGAGGTAGGGTAGGGTATGGGTATACCTGAGAGGGTAACGCGAGAGAATTTCTTCCTTTGTACATCATTGTCATCATCATCATCGTCGTCGTCGTCGTCGTCATCATCATCATCATCATCATCATCAACTGAACCTGCTTGTATGACTAGTATGGAATACACTACAGGTACCTAGGGAGCGACGACATATGCACGTTCGCTCCCGTCGCTCAGCGGGGCCTCACGCTATACGAAATCGAGTAGTTGCTCTCCAATTGGCTTTTGTACAAAACAACCACATGTGCAACCAAAGGTATCCGCCGGACTTTTTGCAAACAGGAGTCTCCACTTAGGTGTATGTAAGGTATGCACAAGTTCTACAACATTTTGCGATATCGCTAATCTTTCGTTCCAGACAAAAAAATCTCGGTAGAGGTCCTTCCGATCGGACCTTGCATCTATCGCATATTCTTGTCTTGTCCTAGTACGTGTGGATTCGGTCTATAGGTTAGCTTTGCTTACCTTAGCTATATGTAGTCTAGAGGTAGGTACATACCTAGTAGTCTACCTAGTTTTAGGTTGTAGGTCTTGGCTGCAGGACAGGATTGGAAAATGTTATATATAAAAGACTAAGTCGATTTTCAAGCTTTGACACGAGACATGCCTACCTAGGTAGGTAGGTAAGAATAAGCTTATTGTAACGAATCGGTAGAAAACGAATCGGTGGAAACGAAAAGTAGAAAGAAAAAATTATTCGCCGTCCTTTTTTCTTCTTTCTACAAGTTTCTTTTTCTTCTTTCTTTTTTACGGGCTAATGCGGCTATACAATATTGTATAGTAGGTACAAGCAATTCTTCTTTCTCTACAACTTCGGAAGGACTAAGGCTCCAAATACTCTTGGCGATACTTTATTTTTTTGAAAGCAAAGGAGGGTAAGGTAAGCTCTACAAGTAGAGTAAGGGGATGCAAGTACTCTAATCGGAGCGAGGAACGAGCAAAACGAGAATGAATCTCTTCAAAGTATACGAGTACCTAAGGTACCTAACAAAAAAGAGGACATCTTCCTAGCGAATTCGAGCTCCAACTTTCACTTCCCAAGACCCTATTGCCCTCTATACACTAGAACGTCTACTTGACGCTACCTAGGTAGTATAAGGATATCCTAGCAAAAATCAAATACCTAGCTGCTGTAGCAGTGTAGCTAGCACTTCTTAGCCGTATATTGTAACTAGGTTGTATATATACATGTAGTCCTTGAGAAACTAGCGCCCTCCACTGAAGAAAACCGGACCCTTTTCGCTTAGAAAGTAGCCGCAGATTCCATATTGTATGTAGTTGGTAGCAAAAAAAGTCTGTCCAATAAAAGTCCAATAGAGGAATTGTTTTTGTGTTGGTTTTGTTCCAGTAATCAATCCATTCTTCACTACGAAATTCTACCGGTATACCGAACCGTCCCTTTTCTGCAAACAGTTTTTTTAATCTATCGCGATTCCCATTTTCGGGCCGCCTTTTTCGATCACCGATCTTGATGTTTTTCCTTTCTTCCACACTTCTTTCTTCTTCAAGACGCTAGCAAACGGCGTACGACGCAACGGCGCGGACTCCCGACCGGGGTCCCGGGGCCAGGTATGTACCTAGGGAGGTACAGTACGCGACGCGTGACGTGACGAGACGAGACGAGACAAACGGATCGAGGACCGGCTCGCCGATGGCACTAAGCCCGATCAAGTGTCAAATTTAGAGTTTCATACTAGTATGAGTTTACGTGCGAAGTGCGGAGATCTCTTTTTTCGCTGACAATATCGACCTCACCTCTCACCTTTTGCTGCGAAGTTTTTCCGAATTTGACCTCTGCTCCTCTCTCTCTCTCTCTCTTCTTACACATGTCATATTGAAGCCGTGTGTTTCATGTTGTGTCTAGCCCCCCCTCGCTCTCCCTCCCTTGCAGACAACCATATGGAAAAAGCTTGACGCACGAGGCAGCCACGCAAGCAGGCAGGCAGGTAGGACAAGGTTGGGTGGTCGTGTAAGAAGCTTGACATTGACGAACAACTTCATTCATTCATTCATTCGGTATAACTCGCATAGGTAAAGAAACAAACAAACGACAAGAACGACAAAAACAATCAATCAAAACGATCACAAGAGACCCATTTCTTTGGCGTAAAATGAGAAACCCGGTCGTTGCCTTGCCATACATATCACATCCTCCACCTTTTCCCGTAGCGCAACAACAAATGCTAGTCCGTAGGCTCCACTTCGCACTCCTCGGTAGACCTTTTCGGCTTCATCTTCTTCTTGTTGTTTTGCTTCTTCATGACACCGCTAACTGCTTGTTGTTGTTGCGCTTAGGAGCTACCATGGGGTCACACCCGTAGAGCTGTGGCCAAAATGCCCCGAGTCTAAGCTGTGAAGCTACGCTTGGTGCTGTCATAGTAGGCGTATGGTGCACCAATCGTCTGTGGCTCTGCCTCTGCCTCTGCGTCACGCTTGGTGCTGTCGTAGTAGGCGTATGGCGCGCCAATCGTCTGAGGCTCCGCCTCTGCCTCTGCGTCACGCTTGGTGCTGTCGTAGTAGGCGTATGGTGCACCGATCGTCTGAGCCTCGCGCTTGGTGCTGTCGTAGTAGGCGTATGGTGCACCAATCGTCTGTGGCTCCGCCTCTGCATCGGCATCACGCTTGGTGCTGTCGTAGTAGGCGTATGGCGCGCCAATCGTTTGAGGCTCCGCCTCTGCTTCGGCATCACGCTTGGTGCTGTCGTAGTAGGCGTATGGTGCGCCGATCGTCTGAGCCTCACGCTTAGTGCTGTCGTAATAAGCATATGGAGCTCCAATCGTCTGAGCCTCGGCCTCTGCGTCACGCTTGGTGCTGTCGTAGTAGGCATATGGAGCTCCAATGGTCTGGGGCTCCGCCTCAGCGTCACGCTTAGTGCTGTCGTAGTAGGCGTATGGTGCTCCAATGGTCTGAGCATCACGCTTGGTGCTGTCGTAGTAGGCATATGGTGCACCAATGGTTTGAGCCTCACGCTTGGTGCTGTCATAGTAGGCATATGGAGCTCCAATGGTCTGAGCCTCTGCCTCTGCGTCACGCTTAGTGCTGTCGTAGTAGGCGTATGGTGCACCAATGGTTTGAGCCTCCGCCTCCGCATCACGCTTGGTGCTGTCGTAGTAGGCGTACGGTGCACCAATGGTCTGAGCCTCACGCTTGGTGCTGTCGTAGTAGGCATATGGAGCTCCAATGGTTTGGGGATCCCGTGCGGCCAAGCTTCGGGCTAAGCGTCCTGTATAGTAGTCAGCAGGACTGAAGTTCACGATGCTACGGCATGCACCTCATACGGTGGTGGAATTCGACTTTGTACGGCTCGCCGAGCTGGGAGACAACATTACCTTGGTTCCATGGGAAATCGTCGGCTCGCTTGAATTGTGCTGCAGCATCAGGTGCCACGGGAGCCTGCAAGGATCAGTACGGGCTTTTTCGTCTACGGATGAGAGAGGGAGAGAGAGAGGGAGAGACAGATGCTTACCGCTTCGACGGCTTGAGTGGCGATGTAAGCCATGATGGCGAGAGCTGTCTGGTGCTTCATGATTGATGATTGATGGTCCGAAAAGGAAGGATGTTTGTTGGTCTCGTCGAGAGGCAAGAGTAGGATCGAAAGACTTGTGACTGTCTAACTGATGTGACTGACGGACGGATGAGATCTCAGCTCCCCTTTTATGTCGTTTCGATCAGCTTCGACTAGACTTGAAAGGAAAACGCCAAGTTCCCCCTCCCCGTGTGACCCTCCACAACAACGCTAGGTAGGATGGATGATACTAACCTGGAACCTGTCGAAACGACGCTTGACTAGGGAATCGTTCGCATCGAGTCATCGATACTTCTTGCCTGGCGAGACTTCGCACTAGAGTCGGAAGGTCAAGGACTGTTGACAAGCCAGCCGCCATGCTAAAGTACTCTGTATGTTACGCGAGGCAGCTAATGAATCTGCCCGAGTTTTTTCCCCAACAGCCGGGCATCGAGCTACAGAGCAAAGAAGAGATCTCGCACGAATACCGGAGCTTGTTCTCCCCCCCCTCTCTCTCGCTGGAAGCCCCCTCGAGAAACTGGCACCCTCCGCCCGCCCACCCACCTACCAGGAAAGTCTCGAGTCTTTGCCTTTTTGTCTACAGTCACAAGATGGAAGGTATGGAAAGCAAAGTGTACGACGAGCTCCTCAACGATGAACAAAAACAACATGACGGCGATGAAGAAGAGCATCTGGACTATCGACGCCGAAAGCACAGTTCTTGGTCCATAGGAAGATCCATCCACCTCTTCATCACAACAGTTCTAGCGCTTGCTCTGATCTACCAGCAGTGGCGTCTTTCTCGCCAGCAGATTTGTCAACGAGGGTTCCCTACAGACTATGGTAAGAAGGATGGAATCCCAGGAAGAAAAGAAAAAGTTGTTGATCGTAGAATTCGTCCCATTCTGACATTCCTGCAGGGAACCTGGGAGATATCATTGGTTTCAAGGAACAGAAATATTCCAACCCCATTGTCATCGCTGAAGATCGTTCCCGACTGGAAATTCCATGGGAAGACGATCGATATGCCTCGAAACCTCGGTATGAGGTCGATCGAGCGTGGGACGAACTTCTCTCATGTAAGCACCTACCACCGTTCTCCAACGGGAAGAAGAGAACTTCCAAGCTGACAAGTTTACGCTTTTTCAATCAGACTCCGGATTCAATCTCTCCGTCACATCACCCGTTGCAGAACCAGCTCGAGGACAAACGATCGAATACGACAACGGCGAAAAACTTCTCGTGGGATTGGAAGTCTTTCATGGTCTTCACTGCCTCGTATGTCATCCCCCATAAGAATTAACAATCCCCCGCCACTTTCAGAAAACAAAATCACTCACTATGCACACAAAAAAAACAGAACATGATACGCTGGGGCCTCTATCGAGAAACCTACGTCGTTTTAGTCTCACCAGAAGAAACCGAACTTCATCTTGGTACGTATTTTTTTTTACTTCCTCCATCAATCTTTTCGTTTGTTGTTTTCCCCAGATTAGAGAGCTAACTTTTTTTTTCTTTTTTTTTCCTTTTCTAGAACATTGCGTCGATTATCTTCGTCAGTACATTCAATGTAATGCGGATTTGACCCCCATGTGGACGGGTGATATGGGAGGTGGTCATTTGATGGTGAAACCATATACTCCGCATACGTGTCGAGATTTTGATCAGATTACTCAGTGGATTGATGATCATCGGGTTTGAATGAATGAATGAGAGGGAGGGAGGGGGGAATAGTGGTATAGTGGAGTATATATATGTTCAAGTACTACAGTCATATTTTCTTCCTTTGCAAATGAACATAGAATCCCGATTTTTGTCTTCTCCCCATTTTCTTGCGATTGAGAGTCTGCTTTCTTAGGTCGTTTCAATTATTATCGAGCGTATAACGTGTGTGGCTCATCTATCGACTTGCTACCAAGGCGCGAAATTTTGAAGGGTACGTCGCAGCGGAGATACGTCGGGGTTTCACAATTCCAGCCGGGAAGTCTGCAAGATAGGTACCTGTAGGTAGGTAACAAACAGAGAGGATATAACAAGACGCCAAGAATGACGATCACGAATCATTTCATTTCATTTGATAAACTACATTCATTGATGAACCACTCTCTCAACACACATCGTATATCATCGCTTGTCCTCGTTGTTGTAATTGTCACCACCTCAATGACCCGACCAACTAAAGAAAGGAATCTCATGCCCGGGGATATTTCTCTCCTCACTAATTCTGCCACCCTCCCACGCCCGTTCCCGATGCCACTTCAAAAACGACTGCCAACTCCTACACTGCTTGGGACGCTCAAAGTCCAAGAACGACATACCCTCTTTGCCTTCGAGAAAGGGCACAACACTCATATCCGCTTCGCACATAATCAGCTGTCGCAGCTGGTCGATGCAATGCGCCGTGTGAATTTCCGACAGCGTGTACTCTCCATAGAGCACATCTTGCGCCTCGTTCCACGAGGGATGTCGTTGCGCGCGGTAGTAGTCTCTGTTGTACCAGAGACCTTGTCGAAGAAGATTGACGCAGTGGAGATAATGCTGCGCTTGGATTTTGCCGCTGACGCCCGCGTACGGTGCCGTGGGGTTTGTTTGGGGATCGAGCCGAACATGGTCGGATGAGATGTCGAAGTACTCGACTTCGTCCATGGGAATCACGATCGGTGCTCCTGATGATGATGGTGTTAGTCCTCGAATGCTTCGTTTTTGGAGGTCCATGTATGAGTTGATTTGTTCTCACCATAGATGCCCAAATCGACCCAATTCTTCTCCACTTCATCGCCTACATCCGAAGTTCTCGCCGTGTATTTGGTGACATTATATTCGAAAGCATTGAATGTCTTCTTGTGTAGCGTCCGATCGATACTCGACATGAAGGGGGCTGTTGTTTGTTGTCAGCGGATGCTGGAGAGGCGAAACAAGTGGACACATGTGTTACCCAATGGCTCTTCCACTTGCTGCTGTGGATTGGAGATGCTGTGCCTTTGCCATAGTAGCATGAGATTGGTCCCGAGAACGAGCGTGTTGATGACCGTCAATACGGTCCATAGATAATGGAAGTTCCGTCTTTGCGTGCTGCTTGGAACCAGCCCGTGGGACGAACTGGACTCGTCATGGCTGTCGCCGAGTTGGCTGTACGTGTATCCCTTGGTCTCGACGTTATTCGGCATATTGTTGTATCGCGGTTCCCTTGACAGAAACGTGAAAAGTGGCATGCTCTGGCAGTTTACGGAGGTGCTGATCGTGGTATGGCGAACTCGTGGCTGGGGCGTGCAGCAGTACTGGCATTCCACTGCAATAGGCCGGGCAAGACGCCGTTCACAGCGTGCTCAGCTCGAAGCACCGGCTACCGAGCCTGACAGCCGTGCACAAGTGAGGTTTTTTGGCATGTCGTCCAAGAGGCTACCAGCAGGGAAGATGCTCGTCACTTCACTTTCGGCGTCAGATTTTGATAGATCATCCTTACAGTGTGCATGTCTGTGGTCACATCCACTAGGCCGTAGTGTAGACTGCAGTGTGCCTCGTGTACCGGTATGGTCACATCTATGGTGGAGGTCCAAGTAGCTTGAGCGTACGTAGAATGCCAAGGTAAGCTTAGATCATGCTAGGAGGTAGATCATGCTAGTCTTGCTAGATGCACCAGCCGATGTGGGCGGGGCCGCCGGGTCCGGTAGGAAAGATATGTGCGTAGCGCGGAGGTCGTTATTCCGGGGCGTACCAATAGGAGGTAGGAGGTAGGAGGTGAGAGGTACAGTATGTACGGCAAAACAACAACCTCCTTGCGAATTTAGTGCTTTCTTTCACCTGCCGTGTCAGCCGAATTCCCGCTTCTAGCGACGGGCTGGGGTTACTGCGGGCCGGTGTCTGTCACATGCATTGGAGCCCGTAGTGCACTCACTCACTCCCGGATGCACGTGACTGCGCCCTGCGCCTAAGGGCAAACCACTGCAGAATAATGTCATTTGTTTCTTAACGCATTCTGCCTTCTCCACACTTCCAGACGATCGAATGTTTATTTGTCGCTAAGGACCGTAGCTCGCCCCGCACATGGATAATGCCAACGTGAAACCGCCCATCCTGTGATCGGTCGACTCATCCTGGGACATGCTTATGATGCTTTGGGCCTGATGAACATCTTCTCTCTTTTCGCCGCGCGTTCGTACGACCCGGCATGCAGCATACATAGCCATGTCACCGCTAATGTTTAGCACGAAATGCACGAAGAACAACTGATGCCTTGCCATCATAATGGGCCGGCGATTGCGGGCAGTAAGCAAGCCGCAGAGCTCTCAAACGCTTGGCATGGTTCGAGGAGCATGTGGCCCCCATTTGTGCACCTGAGCCATTACAACTCTTCTCCAACGGATAGTACCAGATGCCTCCTCCGCAAGCCCAGCGCGTTTGCCCAAAGCTCGAAGTCGATTGTCCGAGAGCGACTGCATAGCAATCATGTCTTTCCGGCCTTCTGCCACTAGTGGCATGCTTCGCCCTGAGGATGAAGCCCACTCCAACGATGTAGAGAAAGAACTGCTGTTGCCAGGCAAGCCGCTCCGCCACAGTCGTCTTTGCGGATGGCATAGTGCTCTACTTCTGTTGGCTTTCACTCATACTTGCGTTACGGTGCTGGCATACAGCTTGACGAGGTACTGTCCTACCAATAACACGGCGCACCTCTTGCGGTGGATGTCCTCGGTCGATAGAGGGTACCGCACGTTGTCGTTCAATCCTTTCGAGGAGCTCGATGCCTTTACCGCTCCTACGGACGTGGCCGACGGTACGGTTGACGACCGCTAGCTGGATCTTGAAGCATACGGTTAGTAGATGTTGTCTGGTAGACCATAAAGGCTCACCACACTGATATGTACCAGGTAATTAGCGAAGCCTGTCTTGATCCCCGAAGAGTATGGTAACGACTTTGGACAAGATCAATTGAACCTATCTTGATCGACCCTGCGTAGTACGACGTTCCGTATCCAGGCCATTTAGCGAACGTCTAGGCTCGTGATCAGCATGAAAAGTTGCCATTCCACACATTCTTGAGTGCTAGATGTAACTATGCCGACCCAAACGCTGGCGTCACTTCGCTTAGAAAATCAATAAGTGACAGAGGCTTGGCGATGAGCGTATTGATGACTACCACGTAGGACAACGAGTGAAGTCAGAGTCGGAATGGCCTCCGGAGAACCTATAGAGAGGACATTAGAAAAATGTGTATTGTGCTGGCATGCAAATGTGCGTGCATGCAGAGAATTGTTGCACGGCGAAGAAAGACGGGAGAACCATCGGTCGATTCACGAATAGTTTGATGAGGATAATGATGATGATACACAACAGGGAGTGTGCTAAATAGGAGGTCTTCTTTCCTGTCAGTGTGAGTGTCATTGTAATGGTCAACAAGTGTCTTGTTGAATTCTTCATCCCTGATAAAATCTGTTCGCCTGAGGCATCAACCTCCACATGGCTGCTTACTCAGCAGTCATGGGTGGGATTTCTACTTCACCTCACACTGTTGACTGCGTTCTTTGTTATAACACTCTCAACACATTCATTCCTTATCATTCACTTTTCCATCATCAACGCCGCCAACCTCGAAAACAGTCTACAAGAAAGCGGAGAGAGAGAGCGAGCACGGATGGGAATTCTTCGAAGAAAAGCGCAACTGGATATAAGCAATCAGTACTACGCCCTGCCCTAGGGATAGGGTTGTATATCACTTCAGCTATATCTCACTACGTAGGATGAAAAGGAGACTAATCGGCAGCAGCAGCAGCAAAAGGCAAGCAGAGTACTTGGCAACGCGGGCTACACGCTGACTATGTACCTAGTGGGCAAGCGCAGCAGAAATGGAAGTCTTGCGTAAATGGAGAAGCGTTATTCGACTCCATGTCTACCTACCTTATTTAAGATTTGCATTGTCTGATCGATCAATCGCCATTCGCTAGCTGTAAAGATCCAAGGACGGTTCAATTCGGTTCTACTTGTCTTATCGAGAGATCTATACTGTTGGTATTTACAGCCTGACAGACTAGAACTGGTTCTTCGATTTGACGACTGCGTGACGCAGGCTTAGGTTCAGCTCAGTACCTACTCTTGTTGGTTAGGTAACCGGTCAGATGCATGCCTTCACACTGCCACCAACCAACACGCCGGTCGGTTCTCACTAACTGCACCAATAGTAACCATGCCCGCATTAGGCAAATGCCTTTATATAGTGTTGTCCGCCTCTCTTAGCATTGGAGGTACTCCCTTTCCGGCGGCTCTTCCAACTCTTCTTCGACATCCTTTTGGAACCGCTCTAACTTAACCCAATGCTCCCCTTCTTCGTTTATACAGAGCAGGCAAATACATGCTTCAATAATGTCTGCTTCGAGACAGGCTTATGCACATGACAGACTAGTAGCTAAGGTATCAAGGACTAGACCTACTACCCTATAGTGCTACAACCTGGTCACTTACAGCAACGATCATTAATAGTTATCTTACTATTTAACAGACCGGTGCGGCGGTATCCAATTCAATCTCTGCCTGCTGAGAAGGCTCGCCTATCCTTATCACTTATTATTGGACTGGCTTATGAATCGAACGGCTAATCGAGCAATGTTAGGCTACGAGGAACCCCGTTCACCCTCGATCGTTAAAAGCGTTGGCAATAATAGTGTAGTGCGGTCAGGATTTTCTAGGTCAAGGACAATATAGACTGTTGGTTTGGAGGTTTGTTAGCTACTAGAGGAGGAATAGTCTAAGGGAAATTACGGGCATAATAAGAGATGGAAGACCGAACTGTATCGCTCGGCCGCTACATCTGGGCCTCCTCTCATGTCCACGCGATTTTGGTCGCAAGAGGAAAAGCGAATGCGGCCGCTTTATCAATTACGATGCGTAGGAAAGGGCGACGATTTACGAGCATCAGCACTGGAAAGATCCTCCTTGCGACACATCCAGATGTTCTCCTACGTTTCCGCTTACCGTTCGACGAGTTTGGCTGGAAAGAGAGACCTGGCATGATTTTTGCCTTCTACGCCTTCGCACTCGTCAACCTCGGCTAGGGAGACGACCTATATTACGATGCCATCCAGCTCTTCGCGGCGTTGGCTGTCTGTAACTTCCGATCAGAATCAGTCGCCCTCCGTTTTCTTACGCTAGAAACACAAGGAAGCGCCTTTTTGACAGTTCTGCACCTAATACGATTCCTCAGTTGGATGCCTAAGTCCCCGGAACGCCGAGACTCCTTACACGCCCTCGGATGATTTCCAGCTCAAAGGCGCTCTGAGACAGCGGATAGCTAGAAGCATAACAATCGAACAGGTCGGACATCTGCCTCGAACTCTTGTTGCGATCGAATAGACGATTCGTGTCGCTTGTCTGCCTCGTAGACACCCTGTAAGATAATAGTAGACGCCGCGAGGGGACGAGGACATTACGTACAAGGTCGCGAGCGGTGTATCCAGAAGGCAAGAGACCTCGTGTAGCCAAGGCTCGCTTTCGGCGAGAAGCTGCATAGAGAGCACAACTACGGTTCGGTCTCAGGAGGAATTGACGCCCGGACGTAGCGCGCATAGCGGCGACTTTCACGACATTTGCTCGGTCGGTGCAGTAGCTGGTCTCTAGTACGCGCGGCATCTCTATCTTTCTCTCTATACCGCGCTGCCTTACATCTTATAGGGTTCTTCCGCATCCTCCTCTACCCGACCCTACTCCGCATCTCCTATATAGCGCCCCTTGCGGGCATCTAGGACGATGTTCTCGTATACCTAGGTTGCGGTCAACCTAACGCTAACCAAGGTAGAGCCAGCCGTTCTCGAAACTGTTTTGCAAGCGTAGCTACAGATTCTCCTCGATTCTCCTCGATGTTCGCGTACCAGCGTAGACAACTCCAATGGTCGCCCCGGAGTGTAGGTATAAGGATTACGAAGAGAGAAAATTCAGCAGTACGTCCGCCTATAGCGCTAGTGCTCCCCCC